GTTGCCCCCAATGTCAAGGTCAAAACCATAAGCTCTATCTCACCTATATTTGACATTTTTGAAAGACACAGTTCAATTTAAATATTGAACGACTAGCAACATCTACATAGTGCTTATCATGTGAAAAGTGTATTCATTCTGTCATTGCACTGATAATAACGCAGAACTCCTTTGTTGATTCATCTAATCAATGATTATCCCATACACATCATTTAGCTATCCTTAAAGTGTCAACACCCATATTTGCTGGGGGTTTCCATAACTTCCAGACAAACAAGTCTTCAATGAATTTCCACAATTTTGGGAAAGTGAGTGCTGATTTATGACCATTTCGGAGAGCACCTGTTTTTTTTTTTTGCCGACTTAATAAATGATAAATAGATGTCTGTTTTTTTACATTAAGGTGTAGCATATGTCTTTTGTTTGGGTTTGGAATTTTTTTTTCCATCAGTCTTGACTGTGCCACGCTCATTTTTTATGTGCAGGAACCCAGCACTTGGTGGCAGCAGTGCTTTAACTTTTACAAGAAAAGGGAGTTGCCCTGTGCAAAATGAACTAAACCCAAATAAGCTGTCTGCTTACTGTTAAGTGCACATATTGTATTTTTCATTTCTGCCTCATTTATTTCGATTAAAATTGTAGATGACGGGATTATATGTGATCACATCTCACTTGTTGGGCTTTTTTACCCTTCTTAACCTTGGTTATAAAATGCCACATGCAGAGCATTACGTTTATTATTACTTCTGCCTTTTTTTTTACAGCTGCTGCAATGAATGCACTTCTGTTAAAGTTTATTGTGAGCCTTTCGGGCACACTTACACAGCGTTTGGAAAATCACAGTCAGGCTGCAGTAGGTGTTTACAGCTAGTAGCAGTTTAGAAGGGAAAATCGACATCACACTTCCTCTGAGCGTTTTTTTCATCAGTCGTTCTTTTCACTGGACTTCACTTCAACTTTTTTTGTGTGTATCTTAATAGTGATTTCAACAATGTGTTTCTTTAAACTCATATCCATTTGGGTTCCTCCACCCAATGCATCCTGCGATATCTCTAGTACACACCCACCCACCACATGGGATGCTTTTGAAGTGATTGTGATCACTTTATCTGTCACCACAGAACAATTCAACAGGAACAACCCTATTCTTTGTATTAACTTGTTTTTTCATAATGTCATGCATTGTTCATAGAAATCTACTAACCTGTTATAAGCACTTTATAACTGCCCAAGTAGGTCCGTTCTGGTCTTCATGATTATGCAATCGTATGTAGGGTGTGGTTCCCCAAACCAGCGCTACTTGTTAAACTCACACCTTTCAGCCGTCCTGCACTTCAGTCAGAGCCTCATTTTCTTTTTGAAACAGGAGACGATACTGAATGTCAGAAACTGTGTTATATGGTGGGAATGGACTACAGGAAGAAATGCAAATGGATGAAAAAGCACAGCTATCTCCTGATTGGCAGGGCCTCAAAGCCCCTAAAGTGTATTTGGTCTTGTTCCGCTCTCTGCCTCTCAACTGTTCCTTTGCTTGGGTGCAGCTCGGGCACAGTTTGAAAACTTTCACAGCAAGGTCTGATGCCATACTGCATCTCAGACCTTTAGCAAATAGGTTAGGCATTCCTCTCAGCGTGTGTGTCAAACCTAACACTGCTCCAGAATAGAGTCCACCAGTCAAGTGAAGAATGTCCCCTCACCTCGTAGGCCCTAATGGGCTTTTTGACCCTGAGCCATCAACATTCTCCTGATACGGACAATAGCCTAGGGTTTAACCGCTGCAGACGTGACTAATACTTAACTAAACCTACACTGATATGAAAGCTTAATACGATGTGGTAAAAGTCCATATTGAAAGGCTGCAGGCCCACCTTCAAATTCATTCGCTAAGGTGGAGGTGGACTAGTCTTCAGCATATTGAACTTTAGTAGTCTCATTGAGCCACTAGTTAGCAACCGCTGTAGTTGTAAGGCATCTAACCAAAATCCATTCAAAAATAACTCTTGACTTTAAGTGAACCTGAAGGGCTTGTGACCAGCAGAGTAACTGATTGTTACAGCCTTAAAGGCCCTGACACACCAGGCCGAAATCGGCCGTTTTCGTTAGTCGGACGACGAAGCGTGCCCTGTCGCCCAAACTCAATTTGGTGTGTCCCGCACCGTCGGCCGTGACACGCCTTATTTGGCCTTTCATGGCCGACGCACGGCCGATTCAACATGTTGAATCGGCCGTGCGTCGGCCACAGGCAGTCGGACAAAGAAATCACTCTGATTGGCTGTTCAGCTAGCGAATCAGTGCATGAGAAGCGAAACGGTTGTTTGAGAAAGTCTTCCACAAGCAACACTCCAATGGCTGATAGCTCCAGTACCGCACGAAACATGTTTTTGATGGACGAGAGTGAAAATGGAACGCACACGCTATTTGTTGTTTGTTTATATCACGCAGTCTGTTCTTCTTCTCTGTCTTCCGGTTGTTGCCTCTTGTGAATGACGAATACACACTACCGCCGCCTGCTGGTAAGGAGAGTTATTGCCACTCACGCATGCGCAGTTCGTAAGTGCTCGGCTGAAGTCTTTGCGGTGTGTTCCAGTGCGACACATGGCCAAGACGCAGGAGAACGCGGCGACGCAACACCTAGCAGCTAGTAGCTCCATATTTAGCACACAGATGAAAGTGGTGCTAATCTTTGCAATAAATTAATTCTAAAGCTTTTTGCACTAAATTAACTTACAGGCTTGGAATTGAGTTGCAGGACAAGGCAAGGTTTACAAACATTGTAGGAAAGCCCTTGTTGCTTTAAAAGTTTTAATAAAAAAGAATCCAACCTTTTAACAATTCATTGAACTGAACTGTAGCCTACTATCAAGAATTTCATGACATCAAGTAGCTGTTTATTTGTCTCTCTGATCTCGCTCTCTGCTAGCCTCAGGCTAGCCTTGGATGGCAGACAGCCATGACATAGAGATAATGCAGAAATGACTTGCCATCTTGGCACAGCTTCCTATTATAATCCTTGTTGCAGTCCCCCACTTGCAGACAGTCTGGCTATTCATGTTGTCAATCACAACATAACTACACTCAGCGTCGGCTTCTTGCTTTTTCCTACTTGATCACCTTATCTATTAAACCCATCATTAAACCTAATTTATACACACTTCATTTCTTTACGGTGACAGCTCAATATTACGCCTGGAGGTTCTACAACAAATTGAAGCAAGTCCTTTAAGTGCTTCCACTTCAAGTTATTATTTTGGTTTGTTGGTGGTTCAGCAATCATTCACAAAGCTGACAGAAAAAAGTATACTTTCCAGAATAGGACACATATGACAATGCAGCCCTGGTTATTTCTAAATGAACATACCTCATTAGCATTTAGGGCGAATAGATTGAAATTATTGAACTGTAATTACAGTAACTACTTTGAAGCTCTGTAGGTTGTTGACAGTTTGCAGGTGGTGCAGGACTATTTCCTGCACTAGTTGTAGTTTTTACACAAGATACTGTTGTGTTAATATATATAGATTTATTTTCCCTGTATTTGGCCTTAATGGTGAGCTAGGCTAATCTTGTTATCGAACTCTCCTCAACAACGAAGATAAGTTCATATCTTTGTGATATTCACATTTTGTCTGAATTTTCAGAAAACATTCAATATAACCTACATGTTTTAAATGGCTCAAAATATAACAAAGGATTTGGACTGTAATTTTGCACAATGTAATGCATATCATATTGCTTTTACTATTGTACCTCCTACAGAAGGATCTGAAAATACTATCATGTCACAATGTAATCATAGGAAAAGCCTTGAACATATATTATATCCATACATCTTTAATGTCAGAAACGTACTCTATTAAAGAACTCGTAAAGTTTGGCATTAGTTTGCTCGTAACCAGATGTTCCGTTATAGCTTTGAGCAGGCCTGCTGTGTTAAATACTGATATGAGGGAAATTGTCTGATGTTGGTGAAACATCTTTTTAATGACCCATGCTTTGGATTGAATGTCAAATTCCAAGCATTACTGAAAGGGCCTCGCCATCATCTATCATTATAACAGTCTGGTGGAGATGCTGATGTGCACCACAATGGGTCCAAATAAGGGTGAAGTGAGGCTCCTCAAATTTGAAATTTGATCCTCTCTATAATATCTCACTCGTCCAAAACCAACATTACACCATCATCCGAGAATTATGAACTCTTCAGAGGATTTCCCTTTAATATCAGAGGCTGTAACTGCTGACCTGTACAGAGTGCAAAGGATCAAATGCTTCTTGCACGCTCTCTCTCTCTCTCTCTCTCTTCTAGCTCAAACACAAACATTTCCTGCCTTTCCTTCACACATACATAAAAATAACAGATATATATTAAGTCACCAATTCCAAGGGTGCATCACCTTATGGGATAACGTCATCTTAACAGCTCATTGGTTATTTGCAATCTATCATTGTTCATAAAGAGGCCAAAGTGCAGCACTGATAGCACCTGTTTCCACAATGACTCTCTTTGTTCAGTTTGTCACTGTTTGCCTTCCCACTCAGTATTTCTATCCTCCGCCGTTTGTGTTCTTGTTACTAGGTGACAGGAGTGAGACAGACTTTGTGTAACACTATGTTGAAAGCCTCCAGGGCAAAGATTAGTCAACCAATTGGGTGTGTCATGTTGAAAAATGACCTCTCAGGGCAAGCCCAGGGTCATACATTTGATCTGGTCAAATAACTTGCACTTTTCTTCAAGTTGTTGGGCTTTGTTTGAGTTCTGGTCGACTAGCCTCACTCCGAGCGTTTTTTTCTCTAAGCCCTAATGCTTTCCACACTGGAGCTGTTAACCATTGTTCACCCTTTCCCGACAACCCCGTTACGTAACACAGATTTCCGTAAATCCACATCCCACTTCCCAGAATGTGAATCCAGTTACCATGACCACTGCATAAACAGAGTGCTGTTATTGTAAAAGATGTACCTTTTTCTAAAAGGCCAGTAAAGTCACCAAACAACACAACTTGTATTCACCGGCAGATTTATTTTTCAGACATGTCACACACACACACACAATTCTAAATGGCAAAAGTTGCAAACTTTAACAGCAGCTTCAATTTGTATCATATCTCAGTTTCTTTTCAGTACAGTTTCACTCATCTCATGTAACAGCTTTTATTAGCAGGAATGTGTGTGTATTGTTGTGTGTGTGTGTGTGTGTGTGTGTGTGTCTGGGAACAGCTTGTCCTGCCAGTTGGACCTCCTAGCTGGAACTGCGCACAGTGGTGGTTGTGACTGTGGATTTTGAGCCCCCTGTGAAAAAAAAGGAAAGAAGTCATGATGGCATTGCTTCACGCTGACTGTACAGTTGTTCTGTAATGTAGTCTTAACAGAGATGTCTCTTACCTGTAGCCATTGGTCTAGAATGAGAGGGAAGAAAAAAAAGAAAATGAGTAAAGTGGGCATTCTTTTCTGCATAAATCATTACATTTTGGCCTAAATGCTCTTATAAGTCCATGCCCCTGTGTCATTTCATGTACCTGGAATCCTCTGTGTCCAGCAGGCTCCTGTAGGTTGCGATCTCCTGCTCCAGCCTGGTCTTGATGTCCAGCAGCATTCTGTAATCCTGGCCCTGCGTGTCGATGCTCTGGCGCACGTTGCCTAGTTCGTTTTCAAGCATGTTGATTGTGTTCTGGTAGCCGGAGAGCATGGAGCTGTAGCGACCGTCTGTCTCTGCCAACGTGTGCTCCAGAGCCCCTTTCTGTTAGGAGAGGGGGAAAAGGAGCACAATTCAAGTACATTAAATGTAACTCATAGATTGATTAATATTTGTAACAGTTTACTTTAGTGTATCTTTGGGATATTTAAAAGCTATAGTCTGTGAACACAAACCCCGCCCTGGATTACATATGTCAGACAGACACTAAAGCTTGTCTGTATTTGTATTCCCTTTCCTGTGATGGAAGGCATATAGGGTTAGGTGTATAGGGTTTTGAATGCTTGTGTGTTTTAACTGCAGTAGTAGGCTGTCTTGCAGGGAGTGTTCAGGATTTACTCCAGCTTGGCACAGATAATCCATGGGAGTGTTACTTTTTGGGTCATCCAGTTCTGCATTCCTTCAGACTTTTTAAAGCTCTTTTATGTCTCTCAGAATTTGAGCAGATGACTGTGAAATGTTTTCCTCAGCAGGCACCCTTCACCCCCTTCTCCACAGCTCCTAACACTCTTATCTATCTCTCATTCTTCAGAAAAAGCCTCCCTCTTTTACCCTCCCTTTTGCTCTTTGAACCTCTGTAACTGTTTCTCTATTCCCTCTGACAAGACAACGATCCAGGATTTTTGCTCATATAAGGCAAGATCAGAACAGATGTTTTGAGTTTGGGGTTTTCTTTTTTTCCTCACCATGCTGAGCTGAGACTGCAGCTCGATCTCCAGGCCCTGCATTGTGCGCCGCAGGTCGTTGATCTCTGTCTTGGTCGTCTGGAGTGTCTCTGTGCTGACGGCCACTTCCTTGGACAACGTTGTAGACTAGAGAAAAGTACAAAACACAGTTGAGAAGAAGAAGAAGCCTTGGTGATGCTCGTCTTACTCTCCCAGGAGATTTTGTTTAATTACAGGTTAGAGTGTTGAGGGCGTAAACCCAGTCATTTGCAACGTGTGGGATATGATTGTTTATGGAAAAGTCTTCTCACCTTATCATTAAACCAGGCCTCCTGGTCGCGACGGTGTTTGTCAGTGATGCCTTCGTACTGGGCGCGGATCTCATCCAGGACTCTGTTGAGGTCTTGCTGGGGTGCGGCATCCACCTCCACGTTGATTGTGCCGGTAAGCTGAGAGTGCATTGCTGCCAGCTCCTAAAGAACCAGGGGTGAAGAAGTCAAGATGTTGAGGCAGTATTTTAAACAGCTCTACAGATGTGAGGAAGCATGCTTCTGTTATCAGAGCAAGTAACGATTTTGACTGAAGCAACAGTCACCTCTGCGTGGTTCTTCTTAAGGAAGGCCAGCTCATCCTGCAGGCCTTCGATCTGCATCTCCAGGTCAGACTTGGTCAGGGTGGTCTGGTCCAGCAGGCGGCGCAGGTTGGCGATGTCAGCCTCAACTGATTGGCGCATCATCTGCTCATGATCGAATCTAAAAAAGAACACCGATATGAGATCAGCATCTTGTTTGACATTAACACAATGTAAACAGTTCCACAGATGTTTGAGAATGTCCTGCTTACTTGGTTTGGAAGTCATCAGCAGCCAGTTTGGAGTTGTCAATCTGGAGCAGGATGCTTGCATTGTCGATGGTGGCAGCTGCAATCTAAAGGGATGCAGAACAGGAAATAGTAGTTGGTCACATGGCAAAAGTACAATTTGAACACTTCATTGTGCAGGTTTGTTCTGAATTACACAATAATATATCAGGTAATGTCCCATGCAGCATCAACCTTACAACATAGTCATATTCCCATGCACATTATTCCACACTTCATTTTGAGCTTTTACAAATCATACACAATCATTAACTGTCCATCAAAAGACCAAGTATTCAGGAGCATAAGGAATCATGCAGACTAGCCTAACTAACCTTTTTACATTCCCACCTTGATAATCATTAACAGCAAAGCAAACATTTGACTTGTCTGGTGTTTAGGGCTCGAGGCTGGCACCTACCTTGTCCTTCAGGTCATTGATGATGGCCCAGTAGTTGCTGTGGTCCCGCTCTGCTGCGGGTCCCTTCGTCTCGTAGTACTCTTTGATCTGCACCTCCAGCTTAGAGTTGGCTGCCTCCAGAGAGCGGACCTTGTCCAGGTAGCTGGCCAGACGGTCGTTCAGGTTCTGCATGGTGGCCTTCTCGTTCAGGTGCACAGAGCTCTGGTCCAGGGCGCTGTTCAGGTCGAACCCACCGCTGCCGTACCCACCGCTGCCGAAGCCCATGCCGCCCCCCATGCCACTCCCCATGCCGCCCCCCATGCCACCTCCATACCCGGAGGAAACGGTGCGCATGTTGGTAGAGGAGATGCGTGGGCCGCTTCTAAAGTTCATCCCAGACACACTGTGAGCCTTGCGGGGAGCGCTGCTTGATGTGTAGCTGCGGCTCTGCCTGATCATCTGAGGCCCGCCCATGGTGCTATGGCTGTGGCTGTACATGATGGCTGATCTGCTGGTGAAGAGAGAACTCGAGGAGAGAGGACCGTTATACAGCTGTAGACGGAAGCAGGACTGTGGAGTGTGATGGAGGGAGGCAGGCCCTTCATATAGAGCTGGACCTGGGGCGGGCCCGGCTGGGAGGAAGGGAGGGAGGTGGAGAGGGTAGGAGGGAGGTGGAGAGGGTGGGAGGGAGTTTTCCTTCACTGTTCAGCCACGGTCTTGGCAGAATCTCCATTTGTTTTCCTCTGAAGACCAGGGTTAGGTTTCTTTCCCTCCCTGTGAGGAAACTGGTATGGAATGTGTGTTTTTCTTCTTCTGTGTGTGAGGGTCCGTGGGGGTCAGTCGGGATCTGTCTAAGTGTTTCTGTCTCCATCTGCATGTATGATTTTAGTATGCTTTCATAAATACTTCTACTCTGGATCTTACAAGTCATTTGTATCCTAAAATAAACAGTAAAGTTGTGCGGTTTGTTAAGTGTCCCGCCATGAGTCAACATTAAGTGTTGCCCTTTACGATAAGTTACAGTCGAGTTAGTCCAGATGAAACATTTTATTTCACAGTCAATATGTGTTCCTTTCATTATAATGTACTTCCAAACTGATTTCATTAAGTACTTGTTTGCAAATGCATTATGCATTCAGCTTTATGCATTAGGCAGTTACTCTTTGAGTGGCATAAAAGATAAGAGGTCATTCCTTATTGAAACTTGGTAGCCTTGAACCACAAACCATGCAGAGTTGTTTTCCATATTTTCAGTCAAACCCATCTAAGGGAATTTGAGAGACCCCATTGTTCACCTAACACACAACATCCCCCCCTCTGTCCTGTATCCTGTGTGTGTGTGTGTGTGTGTGTGTGTGTGTGTGTGTGTGTGTGTGTGTGTGTGTGTGTGTGTGTGTGTGTGTGTGTGTGTGTGTGTGTGTGTGTGTGTGTGTGTGTGTGTGTGTGTGTGTGTGTACTCTGCTTATCTCAGAGTTGGGCTCTGGCCAACATCCATGCTCTTGTAATGTAACATCTGGTGTCAGCCGGGGGGAGGTTGGGGAGGCACATGGGGGTCACCTCTCAGTGAGGGGAAGAAGTGAATCATGCTGTGTAAACTCAACTGCATTACATCATTTACCAAACAAATGGGGCTCTTGATCACAGATACTTGTGGAAAACTTTGAGTTTTTCGCCTGAACATTTACATGTAAACCACAAGTGCATGTTCTCAACCTCCACTTACTCTACTTTAAAGGGTTAGTTTGTTTGAAGTACTTATCCATTGTCATTGTAACCATACAGTCAGGAGGGGTGTCTCATGGCAAGGTAAAGTGGTGAAAATATTCTAAATAAAGAGTACACTTAAAGCGATATTTAATTGTTTGAGGTATATTTAGCTTCTGCTCTGTCCGAAGGAGCACATACTGTAGCGCAGCTTCCCTGCTGGTACTCCTGTTTCTCCAAACTAAAGGCGTGCCAAATGTTGTCTACTGTAAAAATGGACAGACTGTGGATGATTCATACAACCCCACCTCAAACAACACAAACTATCCCTTTGTTAAAATGATAATCAGTAACCTCTCTGAATATGTGAGTACATAATAACTTGGATAACTATAGGTCTACTGCAGGCGACAAGTTCCTTTAGCTGTAGCCTACATTTTGAAAGAACAGTTGTACAATTTGGCAAATACAATATTTCGATTTTATTTCAGTACCTTAAATATGAAGGGGAGACTCGCTATAGACGTAGCTTTAAACCTTTGCTGCGAGGGTCACATGAACAACGGGAGTATCTAAATTAGCATGCTTACTTTCTTCTGATCGCGATTGGCTGTGGGCTGTTACGATGTAACTCACTGACATCACTGATATATTTTTTAATGACTTTTTTATGTAAACATTGTTCCAGGTAATATATTTCAGTGGTAAATAATTTTTTATCGCAATAGAACTTTATTGCCTAGGCTATTTATCACTTGACTTTTTTGCTGTAGATTGTAAGGGTTGGTCAAGAGTCTACCAATATACTGTAAAGGCCGCTACACACCAACCTGAGACCAAAGAACGCGTACCGAAGGCGTCCCGACTTTTACGTCCCGACTTTTACGTCCGCTGCGTCGGCTAAGCCGCCCGTCTACGCCGCCCGCCTACGCCGCCCGCCTACGAACACACCGCAAAGACTTCAGTCGACGAGTGGCAATAACTGTCCTTACCAGCAGGCAGCGGTAGTGTGTATTCGTCATTCAAAAGAGGCAACAACCGGAAGACAGACTATACACCGAGAGAAGAAGAACAGACTGCGTGATATAAACAAACAACAAATAGCGTCTGGGTTCCATTTTCACTCTCTCTCGTCGATCGAAAACATGTAAGCATTAAAAAATAAACTCTTGCGTCCGGGTGAGATGAAAATGAAAAAGATTAGCCGTCTGTGTGTGCCTTCTTAATCGTTTGTTTTGGTCCCTCACTTCCGCTTTGCTTCTCATGCACTGCTTCGCTAAGCTGAACAGCCAATCAGAGTGATTTCTTTGGCCGACTTTCTTTGGCCGACTGTCTACCGATTCAACATGTTGAATCGGCTGCGGGAGGTGTGAACATGTGCCGTAAAGAGACAACGGTGAGACACACCAACCTGAGTAGGGCGCCACGAATGCCCGACTGCCTCTGACGGCCTCTGACTCCCAAAATCGGGTTGGTGTGTCAGGGGCTTAAGGCTGGAGCCAAGGGATGGAGCGAAAAACTTTTGCTTTTGTACCTTTACCTTTTTCGATTTACCTTTGAAAAACTTGGTTATGCTTTAGGCAAATATCGCCTTGGCCTTCAATCGTCCATGTGTGACTGTGCCCTTATGCTAAGCTAAGCTAACCAGTTACTGACTCTAGCTTCCATGTGAGATCAATGTCAACTTTATCATTTAATGGTAATCAAATCGCTCATAGGTAAGTTTCCCAAAATGTCTAACTATACCTTTAGTGATCCACACAACTCAAAGTGTTTACTGCAACATCTTACTCCAGACTAATTATTTTCTCAAATATCCACGACAGTGGTTGGTCAGGTTTTCCCCTTTTCAGCCTGTGTGTGTCATCATGGCAAAAAGTGCTCCTGGAGGCACCAATGGTATAGCAGGACCAACCACAACATTTTGCTTACTTTACCAGGAGTTTATATTTGTGTCCCTCGCTGACAGATTATGTCAACGCAATTGGATCATAAGCAAGGTGGTCTCTAGTTCTAAAAATCTTGAAGAATTCTGAACGTGGGAAATAACTTTTATAACATGAACTTAATCATTTAACAGAAGGATTTTTATGGAATGGGGGAGTTGAAACAGACTAAAAATATAACATGGGTCGAGGCCCAAAATGTTCAATATGTGTGTCCCTGGGTGATCTTGCCTTCATTGGAATCAAAAACAAGTCAAGGCAAGTATATTTGTGCAGACCTTAATGGCTGTTATGCATAATCTCAGTGGGCCTGTCAGCACCCACGTAATGAAAACATGAGAGAAAAACGACTCCAAACTAAGACCCATGTTGAGAACTAGATAAGGGGAAAAATACATTAAAACCTGGGTGGTGCTGCTAGCTGTCTCGTGGGTGGGGAAAGGGGCAAAGTCTCCGAAGGCTTGTGCAATGTTTACAGGTGAAACCCACTTGTAACTGTCGTCCACTGTTACAAGTGTCCATGCCATGTACATTAATTCATCACAGTTAATCATTGGCTATGTTGGCACAAGTTGTGAGAAACGGGAAGGGACAGACACATATCTTGCTGGTTTGGTTGTCGTTTAGGAGGAAGATAAATTATGAGTTCTATGGGCTTGATGGGTGTTTTCACTAAAAGCAACCGCTTGATTCATGCAAATGGTTGACTCAACTTCACTCTACAATCTTACATGAAACAGTACCACTTTGTGTTTTTTATGTATTTTAATTTAAGCATTCATGCAACCATTTTCAGTTATTCCGTAATTACAATGTTGAATGATTGTGTGACGTGTAAAGTCTGTATTTTACAGCACCTCATTTGAGCTCTCAGCCCAGATTAAGGTATTTTTTGGTATCAAGCTCAGCAGGATTGAGTACAAAGTCTGTGATGAATATTTACACAAAACAGAGGGCGTTTACAAGCCTGCAGGAAAATTGAAGCTTAAAATAAACAGACATAATCTTATATTTAATCACTGATTATTGAGTTGAATGCTATTAGGCTTTCCTTCTAACTTCATCTAAATCGTAAGATGTCTCCACATGTCCTTTGTGGGAGTTATTTATGCAGAGCAAGTAATAAACTGTGACTCATACAATACTATTCCAACTACTCCCCCTTTGAATGCTACTGCTAACTGATTCATGCGTGTAAAACTGAAGATAAGATTTCCACGATAAAAAAAGCAGACATTGCATTTCAATTCCGATTTATGGTGCAGCTTGTTAATTATGTTGTGATGTGTATGATGATTATATAATATGTGGGCCTACTGTTTTTAAGGATAGAACATTTAAAAAAATAATGAGTTATTTGACTTATAATATAATATATAAATATCCTGGTCAAAATGGCCTTTTATTGTAGTAAGTAGAGTCACAATGAAGTAAAACAGGGAGGTTACCTCCAAAAACAGTTCAATACTTAATTTATGCTGTGATTGAGTTTCCTTCTGTCAGCTGTAAAGAACACAGTGACTATACAATTAAAAAAACAAAGGGCGTCTAGACTCAAGAAGACATAAAGGGAAGTCCCCTGCTCTGCATTTTACCTTGACATACTGTATAACATAAAAACAGCATTACAAAAATCCACTATTTGTTTGCAGCATAGCAACTGTGAGGCTGTCAGTGTGTATGTGTCACAACTGGTGTATTGTCTTGAGGTCCGGATGGTTTGGATTCCTGCACCTGAGCGCAGACGAATACACCGCCCCTCGCCTTCCCATGTTATTCACAAACTTGTCACTTCCTTTAAAAAAAAAAAACTTGGCACATCATATCATGTCATGGCACATCCAACAACCTTTGTTCTCTTGTTTTACTACGTTTAGGGTTGTCACTGTGGTTTGTATATGTGCCTTTGCATGACCAATTTACATTTTACTTCAA